CTACCTCACCCCTCACGCGGCTGAAACACTGGTCCATGCCTTTATCACCTCAAGGCTGGACTATGGGAACTCTCTCCTCGTCGGCCTTCCCGGCCCTCCCTCCACACTGTAGGACATTCAGAACTCTGCAGCTCGTGTACTGTCTCGCACCAGACACCGCGACCACATCACCGAGTGACCACATCACTCCCACCCTCGCTCGCCCCCACTGGCTCCCCATCCCCCAGAGGATCGATTTCAAGATCCTCATCCTCACCTACAAGGCCATTCACGGCCTCGCTCTCTCCTACCTCTCCGACCTATTATCCCACTACCTACCTGCCCGTACCCTCCGTTCCTCTGGCTCCGGTCTGCTCCACAATCCCCCGCCCCAACCGCCCTACCATCGATGGCCGGGCCTTCAGCCTCTCAGCCCCGAGGCTCTGGAACTCCATCCCCCAGTGCCTTCGCCTCCTCCTCCCTTTCCTCCTTCAAGGCCGGTCTCAAGACCTTTCTCTTTGACCTTCAGCCTTCGGCTCCCCTCTCGACTCTCTACCCCCTCCTCGCTCCCTCCCTTCCCTCCCCTCACCCTGACCATTTACCCCTCCTCGCTCCCTCCCTTCCCTCCCCTCACCCTGACCATTTCCCCCCTCCTCGCTCCCTCCCTTCCCTCCCCTCACCCTGACCATTTCCCCCCCCGCTTGGGTCCCCACCCAACTGCACAGCGCCTTGGGACGTCCTCCCGACGTGAAAGGCGCTCAATAAATGGAATCTTGTTGTTGTTGTTGTTGTTGTTGTTGCGGTCGTCTCCAAGGCATGTTGTAGCTTTTGTACCCATTACTCTTTTGTTCTTACTGTGTAGGCCGGCGATATGTTTCCTGGACCAGTGTGCAATTTTTTTCTCTGATTCACTAAACTTATTAAATCTTCAGTCGCATGATTCACACTCCCTGACCATCCAACAAAAGGTAGGTAAGCCGATCCCCTGAGATCTTGCCCCGTAGCGAGTAGTTTTCTCACTGCGTTTTGTTCTGATCAGGTTCTGTACTGAACCTTTCAAGGTGTGGGTTCCCTCAGACAATCCTTGCTGTTCGTCTTTGAAAGATCAGAGGGAAACCAAAGCCAGGAGATCGATCCTGCGCTCGTTCATCTTGGGAGCAGTTTCACGTCCTTGGCTCAGGCAAGTTTCCTTACTCCACGCGTGGCTTACGGCTAGTGGAGTCCTGTAGCTTAGTGGTTAGAGCGCTCGCCCCGCAAACGAGTGGACCCGGGTTCGATTCCCAGGGCGGGGAGAAACCTTAGGCAGGTTTCCTTACCCCGCACGCCTCTGTTTACTTAGCAGTAAGTTAGAAGCCGGTTGTTTGTCGAGTGGCGGATCTCTTTCCGGGGATAATAACCCCTTCAAAAAACTAATAAATTGGCCACTCAATCCACGACTGTTTGTGGGACGCTGCTATGTGCAATGGCATGATAAGGCGCTGTATCGAATGCAAGGATTATTATGATTATTATGTCGGCGTAATCGTTTTTAAGCCTTGATCTTGCGGTTTATAACTCGAGGACCGCCTGATTGAATATTTTGTTGTGCTGTTAGCCATCTGTCCTGTGTTTAATCTATCAGCTCTTATTAATAACCAAAGTTTTATGGCACTTCAGTTGGTTTGGAATTCCAGTTCTCTGCTCACAATAACAAAACACATCAAGTTCAATGTCTTAATTGCACCTGTGATCACTTTCACGCAAATCGAGTTGGACAAAAATGCTTTCGCTTGGATTTCTGATCAATATTCATCAAATATTGCTTATGTATTTGGAAACAACAACAACAGTGTCCCCGAGCGCTTGACGCTGGGGGAGCATGACACCGGGGAGGGGCCAAAGAGGAAGGTCTTCAGGCGCGATCTGAAGGGAGGAGGAGAGGCGGAGGGATTGAGGGAGAGAGTGACAGAGTTTCCGGGGGTTGTGGCTGAAAGATCGACCGCCGATGGTGGAGCGGAGGACGCGAGGGGCGGGGCGAGCAGGAGGCTGGAGCCAGTCGAGCGGAGGTGGCGGGCGATGGGTTGGGCGAGTGAGGAGGTCGGAGAGGAAATAGCTTTGAAGCCCAATGTGACAGATCCCACATACGATCTCAGCGTCGCAATGCGTAGTACGTCCCGTTGCTTACACTGCCCGCAAGCCCCCAACCCCTCCGATTTCCCTCTTTCAAATATCCATACCACGTCCTATGTCCTTTCTATTCCAATGATTTTTTTTTTGCTTTAACCACAGATTCCTGCCTTGAGAAATTCTTCCCAGACTCCCTTTTTAATCTCCGTGCTTCCAGCTATCTTTAAACGCTCCGGGCGTGAAAGGCGCTGCCTCAATGCGAATTATGTGTTCACTGTCGTCTTTCGCTCGCGAGCGCCAGTAATGATGGTCAGTTGTCACCAGGTGGCAATGACACACTACGTGACTGTGAAGGAACACATGTTCCTCACCTCTGCTTCATCTTTCCCACCCTCTGTTGACGGTCTCTCCAGTCCGGTTCCTGAGGCAGGAAGGGCCGCAGTACTCCAGGGCACTCGCTGCTGATGGTAGCACAGCCCGGCCCGGCTCATCGGCAGGACCTGGAAGGGCCAACCAGTCGCTGAGGGGTCAGGGAATCCTCCCACTCAGCTCCTGTTTAATCCTACGGGCCAAAGCCCTAACGGCTAAGGGTGGTCTTAGCTGGACAAGCAGCGGGAAAGCTTGCCAGAACCAGTCTGGTGGAAATTTCGGGGACAACGTTTGGTTAAAGAGAAAGTACGGTGTGTTGTGATGTGTTTTCACTCGTACCGATCCTTTTCCCGAGATATTTTTCTTTCAAATTGATCAGAAGGCTATTTTTTTTTTTTGCTGGTGCCTTTCGATCATCTGCCGGGCGCAATCGGCTGCCAAATCTCGCCCACAAAGCACACATTCAATCCAGTTTTCGATGCAAACCCCTTTGAGGCGTCTCGATGATATGATAAGGCGCTATATATCAAATGCGAGGATTATTACTACTATTATTAGCTTTCCCCTCACCTTTCCCTTCCCTCCCTCTCAGCCCCCACCACCTAGTTTGGGTGCCTTACCAGCATTGTCAAGCATTTTGAGACGTCCTCCTTGTCTGGAAAAGCGCAGAGCAAGTGTGAACTGTATTGTATACTCATTGGAAATGTATTTCGTTGGTTCATTGCATTTTCCAGCATTAGGTAAGGGAAAATGCTGCAGTTTGGTTGGTTTTAGTGTTTAACCTAATTGGTTGGCGCACTCCCCCCGCAAACGAGAGGACCTGGGTTCGATTCCAAGTCTTTGGAACCTTTTCCTATTCCTTTGCTGTTCATTCTGTGGGAAATGTCGCAATGTGCTGAACAAATTTGGAGACTAGGCGTGGAATCGAATGCCAGGCTAAAACAAACAACCCTTTGAAAGCCGTGTATCACAGATTAATAGTATTTGATCTATCTGTGAGATAAATAGCGCCTTTTTGTCTCGTGCCAAGTTTAACGTGTGTCTCAACCTTATTTGATCATTCAGCCCTGCTTTGATGCTGATAGTGAGATGATAGTCACATTTGGCAGCCTGCTTTTTAATGTTGAAATCAGATAATTTCGCCCACGAAACACGCAGGCAATTCGCTTTACAGTACGTTCCGCAAAGCGCTTTGAGTCATCTCGAAGAAGTGATAAGGCGCTGTATCAAATGAAAGGATTAATATTATTATTAGCATTATTGCTGTATTATTGTAATGAGCATTTTATTCCGAGGCAGCTATCTGCAACGCTGCATCATCAATCAATATTAGAGGAGGCTGTTCAGCCCTTCGAGCGTATTCCACCATTTAATTAGATCATGGATGATCTGTACCTCAACTAATCCTTTCAATTCCAAGCACCTTGGGGCATCCCAATCCACAGCTGTTTGTGGGGACGCTGCTGTGCGCAATTGGCTGCGCCCGCCCACAAAATACACAGTCACTCCACTTTACAGTATATCCCGTGAAGCGCTTTGAGACGTCTCGACGACGTGATGAGGCGCTGGGTCAAATGCGAGGATTATTATTATTATTATTATTATTATTATTATTCTCCACTTGACATAAAAGGTGGTAGACGAAGGTTAAATTTTATTTTGTTTTGTATACTCTGTAGTTTTCAAAGAAAATATCTAAACATTTTGCTTCTTTTCATCTGAAACTGATGATCACTGAACGGTAGAGGTGTGATCAGTGTGGATTGTAATATTATTATTATTATTATTATTATTATTATTATTATTATTATTAAAAGCTCCCAAGTCACCAGAAGACGATTTTGTAGAATGAAGAAAATTAATCTTATTATAATAATATTTGATATAACGTCTTTCGCAACGTTGAGACGTCTCAAAGCGCTTCACGGAATTCCAGCATTTATTGCCCATCTCGAGTTGCCCTGAGAAGGTGTTATGTGGGGTGGGGGCGGTGGTGGGGTGTGTGTGGTTTCTCTTTAACCCTCTATGATTCTTGTCGTGAACGTCCTCCCACCATATTATTCCGTACAGATTAGAAGGCTCATCAGAGCTTCAGAGTTTAATAATAATAATCCTTTCATTTGTTTTAGATCCTTATCATCTCAATGCGCGTCGCAGAATATACTGTAAAGTGGATTGACTGTGATATTTTGCGGGCGAAATATGGCAGTCAATTGCGCGCAGCAGCGTCCCACAAACAGTCGTGGATTGGGTGACCACATTTTCTTTTTTAAAGGATTCTTAACCCCCGGAAAAGCCATCCGCCAATCGACTAACGAACGGGTTCCTACTTACTGTTAAAGTAAAAGTGTGTGTGGAGTAAGGAAACTTGCCTAGAAACTTCCCCCCACCCCACCTGGAATCGAACCCAGGTCCTCTCGCTTGCAAGGCGAGCGCTCTAACAAATACCCCGCGGGACTCCACGAGTGAATTCGGCAGAGCAGAGGGTTAGCAGTGATCGGCGGGTGAGCGAGCGAACACGAATAACAATGATCAGAAAGCTGGTGTGTGCTTTGATTAATGTTTTTTATTTCTAAGCTACAGCATAAACGCGTACATTAAGCAGCGGATTTGCACTGCGAAGGGAAAAGGCGTTCCACAGACACAGCGTTGGGGAAACTAGAAGCGAGCTTACTCTTCCATGGGCCAATCTTCCGGACGGCAATACATATCGACGGGCTTGACGATCATGGTGACGTGCCTGCAGTCATCGCAGAAATCGCCCCAGTAAATCCGCCCTCTCTGGTTCAGCTGAACGGTAGGCATGGCGGGATCACAAGTGTTGAACCAAAATCCACCACCGTACTTGCCTGCGCAGTTTTGCCTGGAATTATCGTTGTCCATATCTTTCGCGCTGAATCCCATGTTGTCAACCATGTTGACCGAGGAGGACAGAGCGTCGGTAGCGCCGCCTTTGAACGCGCCGAGCTTCAGGTTGTAATTTTCGGTCTCCAGCTTCATGCTGCTGTACTCGGCATATTTCTGATCGTCATCTTTGTCGAGGACCACTCTCATCTTGTACCACTTGTGCCTGGTGATGAGTTGCATGTAGTGGTTCCCCAGATAGTGATCTCCCTCGATGTTGCCGAAACCGTACTTAAAGCTGGTCCAGGCCTCCGTCCACGTCATCTCGCTGTTGCGGGTGTTGCGTTGGAATGTGGTCCACCCACTGCAGTCGTAGCTCATGTTGCAGTGGACGACCAGGTAGGGGGAATCCACAGGCTGGATCACGTAGATGCCACTTTCGGTGTAGCCCAGTTTGAACAGAGCGTCACAGTCCCTCATGTACTTCTCTGCGAGGAGGAAAGGACAAAAATTCGCAGCTCACAGACCGCACCATGCAGCTTGACGGTATGCCATAGATTCGTAGGATCCCACTGCGCAAGAAGGAGGCCATTCGGCCCGTCCTGTCTCTGCCGGCTCTTCGAAAAGAGCTACCCGAAGCGATCCCATTTCCCCCGCTCTCTCAGTGCTTTGTCACATTGTTGAGACGTCTCAAAGCGCTTGACAGAATACACTGCATTGTATATTTTGTGAGCGAAACTTAGATGAGATTGCAATTGCGGATGCTGCCATATATAAAGTGGTTTCCCCACACCCCCCAAAAAAAAACACTCTTTGTTCCATCTCTCAACTTGTTAAACATGAAAATATTAACCCGGGACTATCAAAATGAAGAGGACAATAATGAAACAGTTCTCGTAGCCCCGAAGCTTTGATACGAAAGAAATTTTTTGGGGTAAATTCAAATAGCTTTCTTACCTTTCATCTTGTATGCTTCGTGCATGTTGATAATGTTTGACTTGCTTTTCAGCAAGTGATAATTTTGTATCACGATAGCCTTACCACCCGATAATACAACACCAGGTTTGTTGGGATCTGCGCTGTTGGCAGATTGCAGGAAGACTGCGGCAACAAATAACAGTACCTGGAAAGCCATTTTTGGAAAACCTGCAAGGATAAAAGATAAAACACACGTAAGTTAATCTTGTCAGAGAGAGATTCTAAACTCTTGCCGACTGAATGTCTCTCGACTTACTAGCAGTCTCGATGGATGACGATTGTACAGCAAATAGATAAAGGCATCATTTTACCTTTTATACAAGGAGAGCACCCTCAATGTTGTCACAGATTATTAAAGATTAACCCGAAGTTTGTGGTTAATAAAGTTAATAGCAAACCGTGTCCTGAATATTGCGTGAAAGCATCCTAACAGATGGCGTATGTTCGAAGATTATCGAAGGGCCGTTTGCCTTTCTTATCTGTCACCTTTCGGTAAATAGAAATTCCGGCAGACCATATATCTCTCGACATTGTCACTTGTGTTTGCACTGATTAAAATGAAAACTTAGCGATTGTGATCTTGAAGTCGTAAAGTACGTCGAAATACCATGAGGAAGAAAAGCTCTTCCACACTGACGGTTGTCCTTGGTGAATTTGAGATTTGCGTTCATTTCTCCTTAAGGAGATGTCATTTCGTTCAATTGAAACAACCATTAAATCCTTTCCTTTGCGATATTTTGTATTGGACCTTCCGGTGTGAGACATGTTCTCATCAAAGAGTGCAAATTTCTTCCTGTTTTACTCAATAATAATCCTTGCATTCGATATAGGATCTTAGCAAATCTTTGAGCCGTCTGAAAGCGCTTCACAGCATATACTGTAAAGTGAATTAATTGCATATTTTATGGGCCAATTGCGCACAGCAGCGTCCCCTGGTCATTTTCAGCCCATTATTGTGCTCACTTTCAGCATTTCTCTGCTCTGCTCAAGGGAAAACAGCCTCAGTTTGCCCCCAGTCTTCCCTCAAGCTTCAAACTTTAAGGGGGTAATAATCCCTCCCCCCCAAAAAAGGAATAAGTAAATAATAATTCGGTCACTCAACCCACGGCTGTTTGCGGGGCCGCTACTGTGCGCAATTGGCTGCCGCGTTTTGCCCACAAAATACACAGCCACTCCACTTTACAGTCTATTCTGTGAAGCGCTTTGAGACACCTCAGTGACGTGATGGGCGCTATATCAAATGCAAGGATTATTATTATTATTATTATTATTCCCAATGCCATCCTAGTGAATCTCTTCTGCACCCTTACCCTTTCCCTCCGTCCTTGCCATCTTTCTTAGAGTGAGGTACCACTGAGCCGAAGAAAGTCCTGTCACTTGACTTAATAATTCATGCAGTTCTGCATCTGCACCATTTGGAAAGAGGAATTTTTTTTGTTTTCAACTGCTCTGACAAAGTGCTTAACCCCCATAACCCCATAATGTGTGATTGATGTTTCCCGCTGGCAATGCTACCAGCTTCTGCGGATGGAATTGAAAGCACTGCGGGGGGGGGGGGGCTGTCAGACACCAGACAATCTGACCCAACGTCGTTCCTGAGGTGGAAAGTAGAGAGAGAGCGTTTGAGCGCGAATGTGTCATTCAATCCCCTGACTTGTGTTTTGCACCGGTTGTGTTTGTGCAGAGTGTGGCAGCGTTCAGCTCCGTACACGGAGCACCGATGAGGAGGAATTATTTGAGGTGTGAGCTGAGCTTTTATGGACCAAGTGGCTGACTTCTGTTACGCGTTTTAAGTTGTGTCACTGAGACGTGTCGGCCTCTTGCTTCTCCCCCTCCTTCACACCTGCGGAGTCCACATTTTGAGCCACTGCACCCCTCAATCCCTCCGCCTTTTCTCCCCCTCTCTCCTCATTTCGGATCCTGCCTTAAGAACTTCCTGTTCGACCATCACCTCCGCCCGGCTCGGTGTTAGGCTCCTCCGCTGTTATGCGCTCCAGTGTGAAGGACGCTGTATAAATGCAGGTTGTCGTTGTTGTTGTTGTCAGTAAAAATAAACAGAATCAGTAACGTTGCAGATTGGACCTGATCATTTGGGAAGACTGGGTTTATTGAGCCAAATGGTCTTTTCAAAATATGCACAAAATACAGTTGATTTTCTTTGCAATATCTTCAGAAACCAACATTTTTTTAGCCATTCCACGAACTGTTTTCTATTTTGCTTTGCTGTTTTACTAGAGGATCCAGCGATTGCTCACGGCACTGTTTCTTTCGACCAAAAAATGTAATTTTACAATGAAGTGCAGTGGCTGTGTGTGTTAACTGCAGTGACTGTGTATTTGTGCGGTGATCGTGACTGACCAAGTGGACGTGAATGACCTGGAGGATTGCTGCCCAGAACACGGGGGGGAAATCCCGTTCTCTTTCCAAATTGTGTCATAGAATATCATTAGTGTCCAGTTAAACACGTATGCTTTATGATTGAGTGCCGGGTAATCATGAAACTGCTATAAGGAAGCACAACAGGAGTCTAATATCCCATAAAATATAAGATCTTAATCCACTGTAGCGATAAATACTCGCAACCCTACATATGGTGTTGATGGCATTAAAAATAGGTTATCAAATTTTAACCCGAGTCATGTAACCCCTGTTTACAGCCAGATTGATAATTTAGTGAAGCACTTTCCCCAACGCTGCTCCTTAAAAGTCAATAGGTTGTTGTACTTAATTATAGTTCCTATTTTCATGTCAATATTTGGACACCTCAGGTGTCGTGTCGAGATGGAACGTGTCGCTGGCACTTGGTGATACACCACAGTAGGAGAGTTCACAAGGTTTATAATAATCCCAAGGTTGATACAACGCCCTTCACTCCATCAAGACGACTCAAAGCGCGTCACAGAATGTACTGTAAAGTGAATTGACTGTATATTTTGCGGCCGAAACGCGGCAGCCAATTGCGCACAGCAGCGTCCCCGCAAGCAGAGTGACCGAATTCTTCTTATTATTTTTTTGGAGGGATTATTACTCCTGGAAAAGCGATCTGCTAATCGATTAACAGTGATGAACCAAGACTGGTTCTCCATTGAAATGAAGGTTACTGGGGTGTTATCAAGTGAATGAATGAACGGCATTTCTGTATCAACGAAACTGAGAAGGACAAGCGATTGGACCTCAATCCCTGCCATGTCAATGGAGGACAACACTGACTGACTGACGCTTTGGTCACACTCACTCGACTTGACCCTTTCCCTATTGTGCGGCGGTGAAGGGTTTGCTCCATGATGTTAGGCAAAGTCTCGTGGAGACTCTACAGCAGAGTAATTGGGAAATGTAAAGATGAAAGAAATCTGCGCAGAGCAGAGAAGGTTAAGGGGAGAGTTAATGGAGGTGTTCAGAATTCTGAGGGGATTTGATGGAATAAATACGGAGAACCTGTTTCCTCTGGCGGGTGGGTCGGGAACCAGAGGACACGGATTTAAGCTAATTGGCAAAAGAACCAGAGGGGAGATGAGGAGAATTTTTTTGTTGTTACGGTCTGCAACGCACTGCCTGAAAGGAATCAGATTCGATAGTAACTTTCAAAAGGAAATTGGATATGTACTTGAAAAGGATTTCAGGGATTATTAACCCCCGTAAGGCGTCTTTCGCACTGGCTGAGAATGTTCAGCAAATTACATGTGAATAATAGTCACTGCGCCACTGTGAGCAAGGTCAATTTAATATAAAATTATCTGATTAAACCCAGGTAATTTCGTGGATAAATCCCAGTTTACCAACATGTGGAACTCTGACGTTATTCAATAGATTCCCTGATTCCTTTTTATTTTCCAAAGGGTATTTTGTAATAAAAATAATTATCCTTACATTTGATATAGCACCTTTCACATCTGGGGAACATCTCAAAGCACTTCACACAATATACTGTAAAGTGCAGTGACTGTGTTTTGTAGGCAAAAAAAAAAGCGCTCATGCAATCCACGGCTGTTTACTGCCGTCCGCAATTGGCCGCCGCGTTTCGCCCACAAAATACACAGTCAATTCACTTTACCGCATGTTCTGTGAAGCGCTTTGAGACGTCTCAACGGCGTGATAAGGCGCTGTATCAAATGCAAAGATTATTATTATTATTGTCATTGCAGCGACAAGATTATTTAATTGTGCCATTTTAGAGTTGCTTGAAAGAGCAATGTACAGTTAAAAAAAGCTTTAAATGTTACCACAACTTGTGTGAAGTCAATATGATAGGCATTGTTGCACGTTGGCATGTAAGAAAGAGTTCAGTGTTAACATTTTAAGTTCCTGGCGGCCTGGTTTCTGTCAGTTCTGTAATATAAGAGACAAGCAAATTGCATGTCAATGCACAACTGCAATGTAATGCCGAGCAGTTCACCAGCAGTAAGTAGGAATCTGATTGTTCGTCGAATGGTGGATCGCATTCCGGGAGTAATAATCCCTTCAAAATAATAATAATTTGGTCACTCAATCCGCAACAGTTTGTGGGGCATTCCTGTGCACAATTGGCTGCCATAATAACCAGTCACTCCGCTCTACAGCATATCCTGTGATGCACTTTGAGGCGTCTCGACGACCTGATAAGGCCCTGTATCAAATGCAAGGATTATTACTGTTAATTATTTCTGGATAGGCAGTGCCTCTGGAAAGCATTCCAGGACCTTATCGAACGCGAATCGTGCTATGCATATGAGAGTCGTTACTGAGTATTATTATTATGCCCATAAATATACAGAGACTGACAGCAGATCCCCAAACAATCGTAAAGTGAATGATTAATGTTATCCAGGGGATTGCTGGCGAGGACACCGAGTGAGAGGAAACTCCCTTCTCTTTTCAAATAGTGTCACAGGATCTTTAGATCAGATAGGCAGGACCTCAGCTTTATCATTCTACAATTATTTTTATTGTGCCGTACCATTCCTGCCACCGCTTTCTGGAACTTTATCCCAGTTCCCCCATACCCCCATCTCTGGGATCTCAGTCAGTTGGGCAAAGCACTTTGAGACATCAAAGTTCCTGTAGGAGTTCCTGTAGCGTAAATGGTTAGAGCGCAAGTGAGAGGACCCGAGGACGACGAAACCTTAGGCAAGTTTCCTAACTCCACACGCGGCTGTTTATCTTGTGGTAAGGAGGAACCCGGTTGCTAGTTGATCGGCAGATCGCTTTTCCGCTGGGTAATAATCCCTTCCAGAAATAAATAATAATAAATTGGTCACTCAATCCACGGCTGTTTGTGGGGACGCCGCTGTGCGCAATTGGCTGCCGCGTTTGGCCCATGAAACATACAGTCAATTCATTTTACAGTGTAATCCGTGAAGCGCTTTGAGGCGTCTCGAAGACGTGATAAGGCGCTGTGTCAAATGCGTGGGTAATTATTATTATTGTTATTTTACAGTTTATTCTGTGAAGTGCTTCGAGTCGTCTCAATGTGGTGAAAAGGCGCTATGTCAAATGCAAGGATTTATTATTATTATTATATATTATTGTTATTCTCCCGACGTGAAAAGGGACCTTTTCGAAAGGCACATTGTGGATGTGTGAGGTTGCGATTGAATAAAGTAGGCAAGGAAGCAAAGAGGCATAAATTGTGGTTTTGATCAGTTTATTACTATTCTACAAATCGGCAGAAGCCATACAAGGTTTCCTATGATTGACAGAAATCAAGAATTCGACGTACACTTTGGGATGCAGCCAGTTTTCATGTAATCAGCAACATTCAACTGTTGGTGCCAAAAGTGTTTAAGGTTTAAAAGTTACGTGCGTTTTCGTAACTAATATGTGGGCAGTTATCAGTGCTGGGTCTGATAAGCATAACCACAGATTTGCAACCACCGTCGCACAGACCATCCCAGTAAATATTCTCTTTGCTGTTGACCATTACGGACCTGCAATGATCAAACCACCAGCCCCCTCCAAATTGGGTTGCGCAGTTCGCTTTATTGTTCTCTTTGTCTACGGTCGAAAAGGGCATGTTATCGTGAATTCCCGAGGCGTCCGTTTCGGTCAGATGGTCAAAGGTGACTGAACTGTTGTAAATGGTGCCGAGCCGCAGTGGGTAGCTATCCTTTTGGGAGCCTATTTTAAAGTCTCTGTAATTGATTTCGATTTGTTTGTTCTTGCTGTCTGTCAGGATGAATTTCAGCTGGTATTGGGATTGCTTGGTGATATAGTGGACATGCTCGTTTCCCAGCCAATGATCGTTTTCAGCATCACCAAAACCATGCCTGTAGGAAGACCAATCTTCTGCCCAAGACACGTCGGTGCCCTTTGTGTTCTTCTGCACCACGGTCCATCCACCACCAGCGAGTTCCATTTCACAGTAGACCACGATCATCCTGTAACCTTTTGGCTTGATGGTGTAGAGACCGCTCTTCATGTCTCCAGAGCGGCTCTCGGCGAAGCAGTCTCGGTGAAATCTGCCTGTAACGTCCAAATAATAATAATATTAATCCTTGCGGTTGACATAGCGTCTTATAAACGGGAGTTGTTGTTATCGCACAGTGAGACGTCTCAAAGCGCTTCGCAGAATATACGGTAAAGTAAATTGACAGTGTGTTTTGTGGGGATCACGGCAGCCAATTGCGCACAGCAGCGTCCCCACAAACAGCTGTGGTTTTAACGTGACCACCTTTCCGGTTCAGTAGCTGATTACTGACTATTCGTACACCGATTATTAAACAAATGAAGTTGCTGGCGTGACAAGATATTTGAACCAAAGTTACACAAACCAGTCAACCACTAATGTCTTCCACCACCCAAACAGTTTCTTAGTGAAGATATTTTTCTAGGAATCCGCTGTGTTTTTTTTAAAATGGTTTTGCTAAACTATCGATAGCGGAAACAGAGAGAAACAACGAGAGAGGATTCTCTTCAACTTCTAAGCAGGAGTAAAAGATAGCAAAGTACAAGGGTAAGAAAAATATTTTAAGACTATCCAAATGAGATATATTAAACTGCTATTTGATTAGAGTGGCCAAAAGGCTTTCTTCTGATTTGCCACTTAAATGCTATTCCAAGACAAGCAAAACTGATAATAATAATAATCTTTGCATTTGATATAGTGCTTTTCACGTCGGGAGGACGTCCCAAAGCGCTTCACAGAACACACTGTAAAGTGAATTGACTGTATATTTGTGGGCAGCCAATTGCGCACAGCAATGTCCCACAAACACTCGTAGATTGAAAATGACCAATTTATTATTGTTTTAAACTGCCTATAAACCTCAATCGGCTTTGCACCTTTGAATCAAGATGAATTAATAAAACACGATACTTGTGCCGATTGAAGTAATTGGTTACAAATCTAAAACCTCCTCCCGCTTGTGTGAGAATCGAGCCTTGATACGGAATCATTCAAAGCACCTCTCGAAGATGAGATAAGGCGCAATGCAAAGACTGTTAGCAGTATTATTATTATTACTTACCTACGCCTCTTCCATTCCTTACGTTCAGGATTTTGTCCAGTTGATCTTCCCTTAGAATATGCAGGTTGTCGATGGGCAGTCTAAAGGTCCTGTGGGTAAGTCTGCTTTCCACCACCACGAAAGCAGCCAGGGCCACACAACACAGAGTTATGAGAGAATTCATGGCTTAACCTCTGGAAGCAAAAGAAAGACAATCGGGTTTAATTAGCAAATTCAATTTCAATCACATCAAAACTCTCTCGCTGTAAGACAAAGTGAATCGATTGCTTACAGTCTTGAAACGAGTGCGTGAAGCAGCTGATGGGAAACTGTAAAGAAGCACTTAGTCGATGGCTTCTTATATTTTTATACCTGGGTCACATTGGGTGTTGAATCATTAACGTGCTCAGTATTTACGCAGATTATCCTTTAACATCTGTACATTTTTGCACCCGGCAACGCCTCAACAGCTTGGCAATAGTGAGGCAATGATTAATATCTACCGCAATATAAACTGTAATAAGTTCCTGGAGAACAAGGACACTGGCAATTTCCCCCCGGTTGCGATATTTAGTGTTCGATACACAGAATGTGGACGGTTTCAGTAAGTTATCTCGAGAGCAATTGCCGTAACAAAATAGGACCATTTCTATGTTAAACCTATAAAGTTTTAACAATCGTGGATTATATCTAATTATATTCTTTGCGCCGAGAATCTCGATGCTCTTATTCTAAGCTACACAAGGGCTCTATGTCTGAAGGCCAGCAAAGAGCGTTTAGAATGATACTTGGCTCAGATGTTTGGGAGTTGATTCAGACCAACAACTTGAATTTACACAGCGCCCTTCACACAGGGTAGCGTCTCAGAGCGCTTAATAGTGACTGACGGAGCACAGTGCTGAGCCGGGGAGACTGGGGGGGGGGGGGGGCACGATCGAAGAGGAAGGTCTTCAGGTGCGGCCTGAACATGGGGAAGGAGGGGGTGAGGACTGTGGCAGGGAATCCCATACTTTCAGGGCGTAGAGGCTGAAAGCACGGCCTCCGATGGTGGAGCGGAGGGGATGAGGGTCAAGTGGGAGGTTGGAGTCAGTTGAGCGGAGATCCATCTGTTCTGTAACAGGGAGTTAGTGGAGCCTCGCAAGCACTGGGGTGATGGGGTACAGAGTTTGGTGCGGGTGAGGTTATGGGTGATGCAGTATTAAACCAACTGGGCTTTTTTTGTGAATGGTGGGGCTGGGGAGACGGGCGAGGAGGGCATTGGAATAATCAAAGCAGGAGGTGAGAGAGTGCTTCTGAGTTAGAAGGTTGTGGGTTCAAGCCCCACGTCGGGATTTTGAACTCGTAGCCCAGGCTGATATTTCAGTACCGCGCTGGGGGAGTGATGGAGGCTCCCTATTACGCGCCCGTAAAGCACACAACAACTACGACAACTTGCGCCCACCATGCAGCGTAACGACACAAGCTCGCTGCGGTTTACAGTACGTCCTGTGAAGCGCTTTGGGACGTCCTCCTGACGTGAAGGGCGCTATTGCGAATGCAAGGATTGTTGTTACTAAATTAGCTTTTCGTTCAGACAAAAGCGGTCGCTGGCACTTAACACGTATGTTAGTGAAACGTTTAGGAATCACGCGACCAGGGGCACAAACAGCTGACGTGTTTGTTTCATGACTTCTATTGATCCAGGAACTCTAAAATAAGAAGGCTTTTTTTTCCGCATTGTCTTTTATCACCCAATGCAAACCTGTTGTTGAGAGATTAAATAAATCTGGCGACCATATGAGGTATTGGTGCCGATTCAGCGCACACACGCTCTTAATTATACAGTGTTTGCTTCTCTGCAATGAATAACTAACTAACTCACTGGACGGCGAGAGAATCTCCTTTATCGAGAGCAGAGCAAACAAATAGAAAGTGAACGTCAAAGAGTGTGAGGAAGTTAGCAGCATCGCAAGCGGTCAGTGAATTACTGGGGAGAATGGTAACACATTCCAACACTGTGCACCTTCGGGATTATATATAAGCCCCCGGAACTTACAAATAACTGACTCAATAGGATCCTGTCACTTTATTGTAGTAACAGGTTGCGTTTCATTCTTCTCTCAATCCCTCTGCCTTGCCTCCTTCCTGGCTCTTCTTCAGGTGACGCTTGAAGATCTTCCTCTTCGACCATGCCTATGGTCACCCTATCCCCCTGCACACCCCACCCACCCCGCCCCCCCCCCCACCCGCGTTGCCACTTTACGCCCACAAAACACACGGTCAATTCACTTTACATATATCTTGTGAAGCGCTTTGAGACGTCTCGAAGACGCGATAAGGTGTATCAAATGCGAGGATTATTATTATTATCATCAAAACTTACTATTATTATGTAAATCTCTCACGCTCCCGTTCTCCCCATTTCCCTGTTTCTTTTTGGGGGGCTTTATTGTATTACAGATTTACAGATTTACAGCACAGGAGAAGGACGTTTGGTCCATGGTGTGTGTCCGGGCTGGCTCTACACAGCACAACAAATATGGATTCTCTGCCCCGACAATCACTCCCGACAGCACCAGCCCGGCCCGGCTCATCGGCAGGACCTGGAAGGGCAGACCAGTCACTGGGGGTAGGGAATCCTCCCACTCAGCTCCTGTTAACCCTGCAAGACCTAGCCTGAACGAGGAGGGTGGTCCCGTCCGGGCAAGCAGCAGGAAAGCTTTTCTTGGGTTGGCCTCCAGTTATTACGCCAACACACAAAAGCCTTGGCTCTTGCCAACCTGCGCCTAATACTCTCCGGAATTAGGTAACCAGGGTGCGTCCCTCCAGAAAGAGGGAGGGAGAGAGAGCGTATTCCCTTCCAACAATCTATCTCTGGGATTTCCATGGGATGCTTGGAATTCTCAGCTCGGTTTGGATACTCTTAAGTCATCCGCGTGTGTCAGACACCCATCAAGTACAAGGATTCTTCTTATTATATTAATAGTAGTGCCCCTATTTGCACTGCTCTCCAAAATAGCTGCGCCCTTTAAAGCAAGGCTCGATCCATGACCAAAGTGCTGCAAAGACCCTACCCCATGTGAAGGGTGATATATAAATGCAAGTTGTTGTTGTCGTTCCCTGCTCTCTCTCTCTCTCTCTCTCTCTCTCTCTTCCCCCCCCCCCTTTCGCCACCATCAGTGGTTAAACCTGAGACGTAATAACAATAATAACCCTTGCATTTGATATAGCACCATATCACATCGTTGAGACATCTCAAAGCACTTCACAGGATCTGTTGTAAAGTGGAGTGACTGCGTATTTTGTGGGCGAAACACAGCAGCCAATTGCGCACAGCAGTGTCTCACAAACAGCCGCGGATTGAGTGACCACATTCTTTTTTTGAGGGGTTATTACCTGAATATCTATACTAATAAAACGCTAATGTCTGTGTGTATGCGTGTATGTGTGTTTGTGTGTATCAGCCAAGATCTCAATAATCGATTGACGTAGAGATATGATTTACGCCTCCTCGGAAAGGTCTTGAATGAGAGAGTGTCATGGGCATATTCTTTTTCGGGGCTCTCCTATCGTTGATGAGCTATATTTTAAAAAATGCTTTAATTAAGCCCCCAAACATATGAGGTATGCATGCAACAAAGTAGTGACAGAGGAAATCATGGGCATTTTGGGGGGGGGGGATTTTATATCGTTATATAAAGTATAATAATATAAAATATAATGATATAAAACATAATAATATAAAATACAATAATACTGAAACCTACATTCCATATTGTTTTGTCTGCAAGCGTAGCTGCAATGGGTGCAGCTAGTATATATTATATTATAATCCTACATGAAAGCCGCTGAATAAATGTAAGTTGTGGTTCGTTGCTGTAAAACAAAACGAGAGTGTGCTCTAAAATGGGTCTTGTCTTTGCAATGCTGATATCTTCCTTGTAAGAGTTCTAATAATAATAATTCTTGCATTTGATACAGCGCCTTATCATGGCTTCGAGACGTCTCAAAGCGCTTCACTGCATACACTGTAAAATTAATTGCCTGTGTTTTGTGGGCGAAACGTGGCAGCCAATTCCCCACAGCAGCGTCCCCACAACCAGTCGGGGGATTAAGTGAATAATTTTTTTTGAATGCTCGTTAGGAGACGGGCAGGAATCAAAGTCCCAACACAGTTCCGGGGGCTTGATTTGAGTTAGGTTAGGCTCCTGCAGGATCCTTTATGTACATGCCGTTCTGCGAACAACAATAATAATAATAATAATCATAATCATAAAGTTACTAACAACCCTTGAGTTTGGTATTGCAGCATTCATGTCAGGAGATCATCTCAAAGTACTTGACGGGATTAATGTCTGTAAGCACAATGACTGTGTATTGTCTAAGCAAACCTATAACGTTCAATAAAAAGGAGTTAAGGTGGCACTCGTGTGCGCAGTAAACAAAATCCAAATTGGTACTTTAGTTTCGAGATAAATTCGTTCCTTAATTAAACACAGTCAAGTATTCAGCACATAACAAAACCTTGCTTCATCGCCCATAAAATATATATATGACTCAGCGTCACATCGATTAAGAGGCATGTTGACTAATGGGGAATGGCTTTGATTATCGTAAAATGATATTTGGCTTGACAGGGATATGGTTGTAAAAGATGTTTATCTCTACAGTAGCTCTTTTACGATACGGAAGCTTTTGTTCCACAACCCGTAAAAGTGCGATCCGAATCTGGTCGACGTGTCAGAGCACATTAGCTCGAACGGCTCTGTAAAGACGTCCTCAGTTATTTGCTATTATTAAGAGTATTTTACAATGCAGCGCTGGGTGCGAAGGTATTTTTCGTTGTAGGATGGGACCCTGCTGTTGACTCAGGCTACCTGTTTGTTTCATCGAAACTTCCAATTTTCGGTGGCTGAAAAGGCCTAAAAAAAAAGGAGTAGCCACTCAATCCACGACCAGTTGCGGGACCCTGCCGTGCGGAGTTGTCTTGCGTGTTTAAGAACATGAGCATTTACTAGGCAAAGGCGGTCGCTTCACATGTGGTGCCCCAAACTATATACTGTCTCCACCAATATTACCTTCCAGAAAAAAATCTATCTTCGTTTGTTCTTGAAACAAACATCATTCTCTGCTTCCACCTGTTCCATATGTTTGCGACTCGCTCACTGAAGTAGTGTTTCCGCAGATTTATACTGAACTTACCCCCCCCACCCCTTCAATCGCAGGCCGTGTCCTCTGGTTCCACTGTTCAGTACGAGATAAAACACCTTATCTTGGTCCACAGTATCTCGGTCTACATTCCCTTCAGAATCTTAAACACTATAATCATATCGCCCCTCACCCTTCTCTTCTCCAGTCTGAA